CCTTAAACCCTTAAGTTTAGGGTTCCATCAAGGGGCCCAACATGTCCCCTGGCCCGGAGGGGTGCAGCAGGTATTCTGGGCAAAACATATGCCCTCCGACCAAAAAACATTAGCATGGTTATGGTTGGTATTTTCGTGGATTCGTACTATAACAAAAAAGGTGCAACAAACTTAGGTGGGCTAGACCGCAATAATAGCCACTCTCTTTCGCTCGGGATGTGGACGTGGTGAAAAACCCGAAACCGACGCCCAAGGCCCCAAAATCCGATGACTCTTACCCTCAACCCTCAGCCCCAAATCATAAAACCCTAGGCACTGCGTCCTAAACCCTAAACCCCAACCGCAGATGAACCATAAACCTACAAAAAAAAACACAACAAACCAGCAGCCCGTAAAGGCACCAACCCTAAACCCTTAAACAGGAGCCCTAATCCGAAGCCCGAGCGAGCCTCTCTACCTGAGGGGCATTGGCAATTTCCTGTTTGCAAGAGGGCGCGGGTTTAGGGTTTACGATTTCGGCATCAATAATACCTAAACCCTAAACCCTGATACCTAAACCCTAAACCCTAAACCTTAATACCTAAACCCTAAACCCTGAAACCCTAAAGCCCTAAACCCTAATAAGGCGGTTTATGAGGGCTGTGGAGCTTAGGGGCTTTTGAGCATTGTGAAGGCTCGGGAACGCTTTGGTTGCTGGGTGTTTATGTTGGGTATAGGGTTTATGAAGGTGGAAGGTTAGGATTTATAAGGTTTAGTATAATCTATAGGTTTTATGAGGGTGGAAGGTTAGGGTTTATAAGGTTTAGTATAGCCTATAGGGCTTCTGAGTGTGGAAGGTTAGGATGTATAAGATTTAGTATACCCTATAGGGTTTATCAGGGTGGAAGGTTAGGATGTATAAGATGTAGTATAATCTATAGGGCTTATGAGGGTGGAGGGTTAGGATTTATGAGATTGAGCGCTTCAGGCCCATTGGCTCACCGGGTGGGCCTGCAAAGGCAGAAAAGGGCTTCATATACGGTCGCTGATCTTGAAGGCAATATGAGACACCCAAAGCCCTGTTCCAATGGTTAATGCCCTTGCAGCCAAGACAACATGCACCAGGAGAAATATTTACGGCCCTTAAACCCTAAACCCTGAACCCTAAAATAAACCTTAAAACCTAAAACCCTAAGACCCTAAACCCTAATGTTGAAGGCCCTTGTCTTCTGGGGTTGTTATGACGGTTGAAGTCCAGGCATGCAAACTCGAGGGGCAAGGCAAGGTTAAAACCCTAAGCCCGAAACCCTAAACCAAACTATCCGACCCAAGCCCAGGCCCCTTCACTCTGTGCCCCCCAAAAGCAGCCCAGTGCGTAGCACGAGGAGGCCCAGAATTGCAAAAAAGCGCTACGGCGCCTCCCCTCGAAAATCCCGACATGGAGCCGTCAGTCGACCCCACGAGGCCCCCTGCAGTCTGAAGTAGGGTTTAGGGTTTAGGGGTTAAGGTTTGGGGAGTCTATAAATTAAAGAACCCTCACATGTTTCAATCAGAACTCAAAGTTCGAGCAATGCCACTTTTGGGCAGTTGCCTTGCAGCTACGCGACATCTATGCCACGCATCCCTTTCCCCACTGCTTGAGGCTGGAGAAAGCTTACACCCTGCGCAGCGACGTCGTCCGCGACGGTGTGAGCACGACATCTCAAACAAGTCACATCTGCGGTGCAATGTGATCTGAGGTCATGGCTTGGCTCTGCTGCAATGACCCCGTATAGTAGTACCACCTACATACATACCTATAAACAGAAAGACAATCAGACAGACGGACCGCGTACAAACATGTTTATACCTTTCATTGAAGAACAACGCTCTACAGCTCTGCATTCTCTGCTCCGTTGTCTCCTGGATGTCTAAGCTGTGTCCGACACTGCCAGACACTGCTCTGGACATCCACAGACCGGCTTCCTTCTCGATTTCCTGGCTGCTGCTCTGCACCTGTTCCAAGCGACGAAGCAGGAACTCCACGCGAGACGACTCCAAGTAGCTCACCATCCTAGGTCTTGCTTTCCACAACCCCCAGAAAAATCATGCCTCACCCAGAACCATGGCAACCCATCAGAAGAAATCACAACAAAACCCTAAACCCCAAACGCTAAAACCATAAACCCTAAACCCTAAAACCCTAAACCCTAAAACAAGCTGCGACCTTGCATCTCTTCCTTCGAAGAAAAGGACAGGGTCTCCTGCTTATCATCGCTGTAGAACTGTAGGGTCTCCGGACTCCCATCGAACTTCCAGGATTCCTCGGTCCATGGTATTGGGATCGTAGTGAAAGTCTAAGTCTAAACGCCTATTCCTTCTTGGTTTTAGGGTTTGGGGTTTAGGTATTCCTGCTTGGGGTGAGTCTAGGGTTCATAGGGCTTAAGTATTCCTTCTTGGGTTTAGGGTTTAGGGTTTAAGTATTCCTTCTCGGGTTTGGGGTTTAGGGTTTAAGTGCCCATAGAAACCTGAAACGTTACCCAACCATGACAAAGGTTCCCCACCCGGACCCTCAAAGACGATTCTGTCCGAGAGCACTTCGAAGCCCCTGCGCCCGGAGATCGGATCATACATGCCCCCACGCAGTCTCAAGACGAGGTGTAAAGTGGACTCCCTCTCGATGTTGTAATCTGACAGGGTCCGTCCGTCTTCTAGCTGCTTCCCAGCGAAAATCAAGCGCTGCTGATCGGGAGCGAGGCCTTCTATGTCATTAATCTGTGCTTTCAAGTCGTCGATGCTGACGCTTTTTCCTGCGTCCAAGGTCACCGTCTTTTTCCCGTGAGTGTCTTCACATACACTTCATAGCTTCCGGGTCTGCAGGAGAGCTTGCCATCGAGCTTGGAGCTTTCTGAGATCCCGAGTGCTGAAAGAGTCCCCTCCCTCGGCAAGTCTTGGCCGTCCTCTGGCTGCTTGTTGCGGAAGCAAGCTCAAGCTACCTCACTCTAGAAGAGCATATGGCTTACTGTACAAGCTTAATCAGCTTTCTCACAACAACCAGTCCTTGGTGATGCTGAGTCGTCTCGGGCCCACTCCGAGACTACTTGCAAGCCGCTGGATAACGGCCGAGACTGTGTCGAAGGGCGTGGCCTCCACGGTGATGTCTCTAACTTCGCGTCTTTCGTGAGAGAGAAGAACTTTCAGGTTGAAGGTCATAAGGCCTTTCGCCGTCTCAAGCAGGTTTTGCTGTTGAAGTTGGATGGCCTCAAACTGTTGGATCATCTGGAGCAGCGCCTTTTCCTTGGTGCAGAACGGCTTGTTCTGGAGGGAACACCGCAGCGCCTCAATGTCCAAAACCATGACCAAGACTGAAGGGCAAGTCAACGTCAGGGCCTACACAGTGCAGCTGGGAGCCTCACAAAATGCAGGTAGGATCTGCTGCCGGAACATGTTCTCAGACGGTTCATGATACTTCTGTGACGGAGATATGTTTCTGCTTGCTTCACAAGGCTACCAAGCTACCAAACGACATAAAGCAGATGCTTCTACAACTTCGCTCTGCGGCTGAAAGGGGCTTCTGAGGGCTTTTCAAGGCTCCGAGGCTCAGGGGCCATTTAGGTCCATGGGCGTTTAGGGTATAGGGTTTAGGGTTCAGGGTTTAGGGTTCAGGGTTTAGGGTTTAGGGTATAGAATCTTCGAGCTTATATCAGGGGTAATAGGGTTCAGCTCACCGGGGTTGAGGATTCGCGAAGAATTGGGCTCAGGCTTGAATGCTCATCAGTCCATGCAAATGAGAGGAAGCCGATGGAGCGTAAGTAGCCTAAACCCTGAACCCAACAAACTCAAACCCTAAGCCCTAAGCCCTAAACCCTAATCCCTAAACCCAAAAACTCAAACCCTAAGCCCTAAACTCCAAAACCCAAACCCTGAGCCAGCTTAAGGTTCAGAGCTCAAGCGTTTGCGGTTTTGGGCTTCGCTTAAGGCACCACAGCCTGAAACCTTGCCCTGAGCACTGAATTGCGAGGCATCGGCAGGGATTTGCGTTAGACACGGTTTCGAGTTTAGGGTTTAGGGTTTAAGGTTTAGGGTTTAGGGCTTAGGGCTTGGAGTTTAGGGTTTAGGGTTTAGAGTTTAGGGTTTAGGGTTTAGGGTTTCCAAAATACCAGAAGCAACAAAGATCTACAATACCAGACTTCAAGGACAACGCAAATAAAAGAATAGACCCTGAACCCTAAACCCCAAGCCCCAACACCCTAAACCCCAAACCCTAACCCCTCATCATCAGAAACCATAGAGACTCGCGAGGGGTTCTTGGTGTAGGGCTTAGGGTTTGGGGGTCACGGCTTAGATGGAGGTTCTGTCGCAGCCTCAACATGCCGAGAGCCCAAGCCGCGTAGCCCACTCCGTGGTGAGTTGCGATTAAACATGAGAGAAGGTGTCGACTTCTGGCTGCTAAACACTAGACCCTACAGCCTTTCTTTCAGGAGTTTCATAAAGGGTCTGTAAGGGTTTCTATAAGCCTTAATGGCCTCCATGCATAGGCAGGGTACCTACAGTATAATGATAACATATAACAAGGACGATAAGGGAATACCCTTGCTAGTTATTCCGACCCCCGTAGTACTCCCCCTCGAAAACCCTTACATGAAGATCTGTATCAATCCTGCGGGGCCCCTTGCGGGCTATAGAAGCCTCACAAAAATTCAATCTGCTCAAAGTTCTACAAATGCCACGTCTGGGCAGTTTCCTTGTAGCTATCCGACGTGCGGCGTCGATACACCCGGTGTCGAGACTAGAATCGGCTAGAGAAAGCTCCCATCCTTGGCGGTGACATTTTCTGAGACGGTGTGAGCACGACATCTCTCTGATCTCCCGGTGCATCTGCTGTACAATCTGATCTGCTGTCATGGCTTGGCTCGGAATGAGCATGTATAGCACTACTATGTCCGGTGCGTACATACATACATACATACATACATACATGCACGTGTGTTTTACACACATGTGCACGTACAACGCCACGACGCTCTATAGCGCCGCACTCTCTAGTCCGATGTATCCTGGATGTCTACATTGTGCGCGACGCTGCTTGACGCTGCTCTGGACATCCACAGACCTGCTTGCTTCTCGATTTCCTGGCTGCTGCTCCTTACGGTTTAGGGTTTAGGGTTTAGTGTCCAGTATCAAGGGGGAGCTAAATGTAAGCCTTTGGATTACCATACCGGGATTGTAATACCCCAGTAAGGTGAAAAGTTACTTACTCTACGACTAAGGCTCTGGACCTGTTCCAACCGACGAAGCAGGAACTCCACGCGAGATGACTCCAGGTAGCTCACCATCCTAGGTCTTGCTTTCAACACCCCGCGAAGTCATTCATCACAAACAACTATAGCAACCAATCACCAGAAATCAAAAACAAAGACTATCCCAAGCTGGTACCTGGCAGCTCTTCTTTTGAAGGGAACGACACGACCTTACCTTGGCTCCAGCAAACTAGGCTTTCCGGACTCCCGTCCAACTGCCAGGATTCTCCATCCTCAAAGAGGATTCTGTCCGAGAGCACCTCGAAGCCCTGGCGGCCGGAGATCGGATCATACATGCCCCCACGCAGACGCAAGATCATGTGTAAGGTGGACTCCTTCTGGATGCCGTAGTCTGACAGAGTCCGTCCGTCGTCTAGCTGCATCCCGGCGAACATCAAGCGCTGCTGATCGGGAGGGGTGCCTACTTTTGCTTGAATCTTTGCTTTCAAGTTGTCGATGGTGTCGCTGTCTTCTACGTCCAAGGTCAGCGTTTGTCCCGTGAGCATCTTCACAAACACTTGATAGCTTCCGGGATTGCAGCTCAGACGCCAGACGAGGTGTAAAGTTGACTGATCTTGAATGTCGTAGTCTGACAAAGCCCGTCCGTCTTCTAGCTGCTTCCCAGCGAAAATCAAGCGCTGCTGATCGGGAGGGACGCCTTCGCGGTCCTGAATCTGTGCTTTAAAATCGGCCACGGTGTCGCTCCCTTGTGCGTCCAAGATCACCCTTTTGCCCGTGAGCGTCTTCACATACACCTGATAGCTTCCGGGATTGCAGTCGGGCTTGCTATGGAGCATGCACTCGGGCTTGGAGCCTTGTGAGATGCCAATTGCTGGATGAGACGCAGGCACCTCCCTCAGACGCAAGACGAGGTATAAAGTGGACTCTTCTTGAATGTTGTAAGCTGACAAAGTCCGTCCGTCTTCCAACTGCTTCCCGGCGAAAATCAAGCGTTGCTGATCGGGAGGGATGCCTTCGCGGTCCTGAATCTGTGCTTTTAATTCGGCCACGGTGTCGCTTCCCTCTACGTCCAAGATCAGCGTTTTGCCCGTGAGTGTCTTCACGAACATTTGATACCTTCCGGGCATGCAATCGTGCTTGCACTCGAGCTTGGAGCTTTCGGAGACCCCAAGTGCTGAAAGAGTTCCCTCCTTCGGCAAGTCTTGGCCCTCCTCTGGCTGCTTGCTACGGAAGCAAGCTCAAGCTACTTCACTCTAAGGAAAGCATACATGGCTGACTGTATATGTCTACCGAACTTTCTCGCAATGCCCCACCCAGGCTCCAAAACTCCTTGATTCAGGGCTAAACCTTCAATCTTGATAAGGATTAGGGTTTAGGGTTTAGGGTTTAGGGTTTAGGGTTTAGGGTTTAGGGTTTAGGGTTTAGGGTGTGTCGATGCTCCGCGCACACCACCACGCGAGACGTGTGTTGTGGTGTG